AGATAGAAGGAAGAAGGGGAGAGAAGGGAAGGGAAGAGAAGGGGATGGGAGGGAAGAGAAGGAAAGGAAGATCGAAAGAAGAAGGGAAGGAAACAGAAGGGAAGGGAAGGGAAAAAGGAAAATCTGCACTGCTGAGGATGGGAGCTGCCAGTCTTGTGGTACATAAAGTGGCTGACCATAGGTGTCTGTGAGATCCATCAGGGCGTCATACCTGAGATTTGTCCAGCAATCAGAATTCCAAGCGTCACGGCAAACCCGAAGGCCAAGTTGACTGTCAGGAAGCGGGCGTGAGTCCCTCTGCTGAGCACGAGTTGGGCCACCGAACCACAGCCGAACATCTGAAAAGAAGGAAGAAACTCGGTGATGTCCAGATTTGAAGCCTCAGGAAAGCAAGGGCTAGACTAGAAGACCTCCAAGGTCCCAGCTCTATGCAATCCTAACTATGTAATTTATGTAATTTTTGTGCAAGTTCTTATTGCAAAAGGTGACACCTAGGTTCCTACAGGTGGTCCTTGGGTTACGACCAATTCCCCCAGCGACCATTCAAACTTACAATGGACCCTTCCCTCCGACAGTACTTATGATCCGAAGTTATGACAGCTGCCTTCCCCGTGGTCATGTGACCAAATTACCACTGAATTAGAACTGTTTGCAGAGTCCTGTTGTCACAGGACCTCAAGTTACAACGTTTTCCCCCCTGAAAACTGGCCAAAACTCCCCATGGTAAACAATGGGGCTCATTTAACGACTGCCAATTCACTTAAGGACTGTGGTGATTCACTTAATGACCGGTGTAAAAAAAAAGGTTGTAAAATCAGAGGTCAGTAGAATGGGTGACCTGCTTCACGATGGTCGTGACTTACAACCGTAATAAGCAGGCTCCCTTATGGTCATAAGTTGAGGATTACTTGAGGTTGAAACACAAGGCAATAACAGCTGAATTTTTGTCCCCAGATCAGAGCATTGTATATTGCTTGCTCTAGCATATTCTTACATAGTGCAAATATTATATATATAAAAGCAAAATACCCCTCACGCATCATCACAAAATCTCCAGAACCATAAAGCCTACAAACTTGAAATTTGGCCCGTAGGTTCCTCTTGGCTTCTAGGGGCTCCCTAAGAAAGGATTTTTCCAAATGACCATCAGAGCATTAGTATTTCCTATATTATTATCAACACGCTCTGATGCTAAGGAGTTCTACTCCCCCTCCCCACCTGAAAATAAATCTCTTCCAAAGGCAAAACACAAGCAGAGGAGAGGAGGTTCAGTTTCACTTTCACAGCAGCACCAAGCAGCTTTAGTACAGAACAGTTGAGCTAAGCCACGCCCAGGCTCCTTGCTGTCTCCTTGCTCACACAGCAAATACTCTTTCAGTTTCCAAACAGCCCTCAACTCTCTCACACACTGACAGGATGCTAGCCAAATAAATACCAATGGATGCTGGTAGGCAGAGGCACCCCTTTATTTTCCTTCCCAAAAACTAAGTCCGACCACTTGGTTTCGTAGCGAAGCACGGATATCGAGCTAGAATCTGATATTTTTTTTAAAGCAAGCAATAGAATGTATGTAGATAGTCCTTGACTTACAACACTTAATTTAGTGACCATTCAAAAATACAATGGCTGCCAGGATTCCAGCAGTTACCCCCATTTAAATCCTGAGTCTCGAGCCAAACGTCCAAAGGATTTATTGGGAGTTAACATGTCCAGCACTGCCTGGGTGTAGCCGACTCTGAGACACATTATGCATTTGTCACCCTTGACCCTGGTTTTCCCTCCAGCCCTCTGGGTATATCGTAATTCATATTCTCCAATGGGACACGTCCATAGCCCAGAGTCATCAATCATGCTCTCCAGTTAGAATTTTTCGGGGCAGAAACTTCAGTCACCTAGTTACTTTGAAAACATTTATGGAATGCACTTTTGATTTCCAAGCTGCCGCACTGCTCCCCCCTCCCTTTCTGTTGGCAAGTCTTAAAAAAACCATAGAAATATTTTATGAGTTGACATTGGCACTGAAAAAGTGACTCATGACCGGGTTTTTTTGCCCTTATGCTATTTCCAGCATCCCCATGGTGACGTGATCAACATTTCTGATACTTGGCAACTGACTCATGTTTATGACGGTCACGGGATCCCCCTTTTACGACCGTCTGAGGAGCCAAGTTCAATGCGTACGACGGATTCATGTAACAACTGTGTGGTTCATTGAACAGCTGCATTGATTCACTAAACAACGGTGACCAGGAAGGGTCATACAATGGAGCCAAATTCACTGACCCAGCATCTCAGTTAGCCACAGAACTATATTGTGCTCCATTGTAGTCAAAAGGTCTACCCACAAAGGATTTACGGAGAGTTTTTAACCAAGAAAGCGGGGGGGGGGGGGGGGAGTTTCCATTTTATTTCAGGTTCTTATGCAATCAAAGTCTTGTTTCCTCTCAGGTTACTTTCTTCCTCCTCCTTCTGACCAGGAGATTAAATTTCACTCCTTGTAGCAGAGGATTTTAAAAAATAGCTGTTTGTCCTTGAGCTTTAAACAAAAAAAAAAAAAGGACTTTGAATCATATTCTTTTTGCCATTTATTATGTCAGACGATAATCTTATTTGAAAGAAAATAAGATTATCGTCTGACATAATACATAGCAAAAAGAATGTGATAAAGGACTTTCTTGTACAAGGTGTGGACAGGATAAGATTTCCCGTGGGCGCCCTTCCATACGTTTGACTTTGGTACAACAGCGATGACAACAAGGCCCAGTTGGGCTGGACGGAAAACTGCCAAAGAAGCTGAGTTAATCAAAGCTGTCATGTTTCAGGCTGTCAAAAAACAATGGCTGTGCAATCTGAGAAAGGCTAAAGAAGAATGGCGTGCACAATTGAGCAATAAATCAAAGGTGGGTGCAAACTTGAAATCTGGAAGAGGGCCGAGTGAAATCGTACAGAGCTGAATAACGAGAGCTGGAAGGGACCTTGGAGGTCTTCTAGTCCAACCCAATGCTCAGGCAGGAAACCCTATACCCGTGAGGGTAAACCTAGGTGGCACGCAGAGCCATTTGTGTGGGCACGTGAGCTCCAGCCAAACTTAACTGCACATCACATGCATGCGCTTCTCAGCTGATTTTCGGCCCGCTTGAGGCCGTTTTTGTCCTCCCGGAGGCTCGAGGGAAGCCTCTGCAGCCTCAGGAGGCCAAAAAACGGGCCTTCTGGAAATACTGGAAGTGTCAAAACGGGGCCGTTTTTCGGCCTCCTGAGGCTGCAGAGGCTTCCTTTGAGTCTCAGGGAGGCCAAAAAAGGCCTCAAACAGGCCCAAGATCAGCTGGGAGGCATGCGCAGTGCAGGTAAGAGGGTGTGGAGGGGGTATTGCGCGTGCATGCACAGGGGGGGCGGGACACATTGCATTGTGGGTGCCGGCATGCGCACCCACGCTATCACGCGCACAGACACTTTCGGCACGCCGCAACAAAAAGATTCGCCATCGCTGGCCTATATCATTTCAGACAAAGGGCTGTCCAATCTGTTCTTTAAAATCTGTACTGTTGAACAGTAGCGGGATTCCAAATGGCGCACTACCAGTTCTGCACTCAAAGATCGCCTTCCGTGAGGGGAGCTGTTTTTTTTAGCTCCGCTGAGGCAAATCAACTCAGCTAAAAATCAATAGAATATAGGATGAGAAAGGGAGGCTGCGGGGCCAGTCAGAGGTGGGTTTTGCTGGTTCTCCAAACTGGTCCAAATTTCTGCTACCAGTATGTCAGAACCAGTCCGAACCAGCTGAATATCACCTCTGGTGTTGAAGCACCCACAACTTCTGGTGGCAAGCAGTTCCACTGGTTGATTATCCTCACTGTCACAGCTCTAGGTTGCTTCTCTCTCCTTGATTAGTTTCCATTTGTTGTCTTCTTGTCCTGCCTTCAGGCGCTTTGGATAATAGGTTGACCCCCTCTTCTTTGGGGCAGCCCTCAAATATCGGCAAACTGCTATCATGTCACCCCTAATCTTTCTCTTTGTTAGGCTAGTCAGATCGTGCAACCGTTCTTCATATATTTTAGCCTTCAGCCCCCTAATCATCTCAGTTGCTCTTTTCTGCACTTTCCCCCCCCCCCCTCCGAAGTCTTAACTTCTTTTTTATAATATGGTAACCAAAACTGGATGCAGTTTTCCAGGTGTGGCCTTACTATCTATCTTCTATCTAGGTTCTATCTTGGCCTATAATTCATTCCTCCCTGTCCTAATGAATTCACTGCCTTCCTCTTGATCTACTGCTTTACAAAATGCACATCAATGCACCAAGTCCTGCATTGCGAGTAGGTTTTGCCCAAGCGCATGGGAAGTTAGTCTCTTCCCTTTTTCTGTGCCATCTTCACTTGGAAATCTTTTCAGGACCTTTTTACAACATAAGAAAGAGAATCTCCTTGGGAAGCCATTGCTACGTTCAACGCTCTGATTTTGCATTGTTAAATGGGCCAAAGCAGAGGTGGGTCTTCAGCAGGTTCTGACCAGTTCTGGAGAACAGGTAGCGGAAATTTTGAGTAGTTCGGAGAACCGGCAAATCCCACCTCTGACTGGCCCCGCCTCATCTATTCACCACCTCCCGAGTCCCAGTTGATTGGCTGGGTCTTTGGTTGCCCTGAACAGGAGAATGGAGCTGGAAAGCAGGTTAGTGGAGAGGGAATGGGATTTTGCAGTAACCTTCCCCTACCACGCCCACCAAGCCACGCCCTGGTAGTAAACAATTTTGAATCCCACCACTGGGCCAAAGGTTTTTGTTTTTTTTAAATAGTTGGCCTGTGGCAGGAAAATTAAAATCTGTCCTGCTTCTTCAGGTCACAACTCCGTGTTAGTTTTATGCTCAGGTAGTCCTTAGAGACCAATTAAAAGAACGTGTCGATCCTGGGTTCAAACAAAGTTATACTATATCCATTTACCCAGCTCCCTGGAAAAGGCTAGGAAAGAATGTCATTTCTGCACTCCTCAGCGGCTCGTGCCTTTTTTGACTCCAATTTTTTCGTCTCCCAGGATGCAAACTTTCATAGTATCCACCATCTGAGACAGCCAGGGGTGGGATTCTACAGGTTCCCACCTATTCGCTAGAACCTGTTGTTAACATTCTAAGCAGTTTGGAGAACCGGTTGTTAGAAGAAATTACTGGTCTAATCCTGTAAGGAAGGCAGGAAGGAAACATTCTGGTGTTGCTTACAGAAACTGCCTCTCCGTTAACCCTTATTACGTTCTTGGCAGGACTAGACTTCCTGTCTCAGGAACTTCTCTGGAGTTGTTTTTCCCCTCCTTTGCTGGTACTTTGCTTGTGTGGAGTGACCATTCAAAGTTACAATGG